CGGCGCAGGATGTGGCTTTGCGGTGACGTCAGGCCCAGATGTTTTCCCAAGCCACGCCCCCGCAGGGGTCCGGGCGACTCCGAGGAGCGGTAACGGGGAAAGCTTATTCTACTGTCACAACGCAATGGAAGGGCTGGGGAAACTGCATCTTTATTTTATTGCGTTCTCGAAAAAACTGCATTAATTCATACTCCAAGCAACAAGCTGCCAGTGCCAGGATCTGTGTGCTCTTCTTTTTCTCTTCCATTGGACTTCCAACGCTTTTTTTGATTTAGGGACAAGCTGGGTGTGATCGTCACGAACAAAGTGTGTTTTTGATGGCTGCTAAATCAGCCTTTACTTCTACAAAGAGATCCTAAGAAATAAGAGAGGGGAAGGGCTGCTCGCATAATCTTTTTAAAAAGGGAAAGAACAGTGTTGGGGTTTTTTTTTTTTTCCTCTTCTGTTTGGATTTCTTTTTAAACTTAGGAAAAATGGCAACAGCAGCATATGTGGATCATTTTGCAGCAGAGTGCCTTGTTTCTATGTCCAGTCGTGCTATTATCCATAGTCCCAAAAGGGAGCCTGATCCCCAACCTGATGCAGCAATACCTCCTTCATCAAATGGAGAAGATAAGCGGGAAGTCAGAGAAACCGGGAAAGACAATGGATCATCATTACTTGTGGTAGCTAGCATTTTAGCAGATCTGAACCAGCATGTCCCAAACTCACCCGCTCTAAGGATGGAAAAAACAGAGACCTTTGATATCACAGAACAAATACACATTTCTGTTGTTCCTAAGGAGTTTGGGGAAGAAAGTGTGTCTTCGGCTGGTAAGCGTGGAGGAGGAAGAGCAGCCACACCTACTAGCCTGGCTGCAGTAACTGAGCCAAGCCCCAGACAAAAGAACAAACGCACGAGAAGCTGGACTGACCCTGGATCACCCCAGAAAAAGCACAAATGCCACTATGTGGGGTGTGAAAAAGTTTATGGCAAATCTTCCCATCTTAAAGCTCATCTAAGGACCCACACAGGTTAGTTACAATCCAGCCAGAGATTTATTTGTTACAGCTTGGTAATTAAAATGAACATTGAAAAAACAAAACCAAACAAACTTGTATTTGGCCACCATTATGGTTTCACCTCTCAGAACTCAAGCTCGGGAAAACCAAACAACAACAAAAAAACCCCTTTGGAAATAAACCCTTACTGGGCATAGATTCAAAGCTAATGTTGCCCTTTTTTATTATTTAATGTCACAGGGAATGGCGTGTGGGTCATCTGTGTGGATTGTACCAAGCTGTAATTTTTAGCTGCTAGCCGCCTTGTTCGGTGCATCTTCTACTTCCCTTTCCAATGCTTCTTACCCTCCCCCATCTACTTTTTCCTACCCCGTGCTCCTGTCAATACCTTCATACCAGCTTATCACTTCCCTGCAAGCATCAATACTCTCAATATTTTAAAATTAAACGTTCTAGAGGCACCTGAATGACTGTGTGTCTGTTTCTTTCTTTAGCAGACACTTGTGTGAAAGCTAGAATAGGCAGGAAGGCAGTTGAGAGGCTGAACATGAGTCACAAGGAGACATCGTAAGTGTAGAGAGGGGGTCATGGGCAGTCTGAAAAAAGCTTTTGGCAGCTGGATAAAACAGATTTCAAAACAAAAAAAAACATTTCAATGCAAACACTAACTTATTCTGATCAGTATTCACTTCTTGGTGAAGATTTATCAGACCACTTTTTTGTTGCTATTGTGATTTATGAGGCACACATAGAAAAAGTGGAAGTCTTGCAAGAGCTTTGAAAGTTATGCACTGAAAGTGTTGGGAGGGCCATCTTGAAGCAGGGCCCCATGACTTGCCAGACCTCGTGCATCTGCCTGGTGCTGGGGAACAGGATGGCGTCCAGTCAGACAGGGGACACCAAAAATTGAGGAGACGGACCTCTGTTGAAGGCACTGATCATAGTGCATGTGGCAAGGCACCACGCCGACTGGAGCTGGCTTGTGCAAGCTGTTCCACTGAGTAATTTCAGACAACAAATTAGTTTACTAAGATCTATGGTCAGTTCACTTATAAAGAGCATTAAGAAAGAGATCCTCAGAACTAAACATGACTTAATGACTCTTCAACAGTTCTAGCTTAGAGATGGCAGCCTCACCCACATCAGTCATACCTCTTCAGTGTGCCTTTAGCTTTTCCTGCTGCCTTCCTGAGGTAAAGCAAGAGCCCTTCTAAATTGAGGGTATGTTTTGCTCTCTGTGGGAGAGAAGAAAGCCCCACCAAGTTTGAGCATATGGATTGACAATTCCCTGTGCCGCACAGCCAAAGGAACAGCGTGTGCCTGGCACCCCAGGCAGCCTGCCCTGCTTTGCACTGTGTAACTGCTTTTTGCTTCTTTGGGAGTTATGCAGAAAAGGTGCTTCCACTTGGCTTGCAGGGGATTGTCTCCATTAATTTTCAGTTCTTTTGCTTGCTCATTTCTGGCATTTGCCATGGTCCTAAAAGTGAAAGATAAATTTAGCAATGTTTCTGGGCTCCCAAACCAACTAGAGACCAAGAAGGGGAACTCCGGTCCCTGATAAAGAGAGGAGGGCTGGGCATGCCCGCCCTGTGGGGAGAGGAGAGGGAGGGCAGTGCCGGTGGGGAGCGTCGCTCCGGGCTGCCGGCTGAGCCGAGTCATTCGGGGACGCTGGCTTGCCTCCAAGTTCTCTGGGTTTTGTTGTTTTTTGGTGGGCTGGTTTTTTTTTTTTTTGGTTTTTTTTTTTTTAACTCTTCATTTCCTGTATGTTTTCCAGGTCTGTAGGGCTTAATTGGTTATTGCTGTAGCTAATGGCACTGAGAGAACAGAGCGTGTGCGTGTTTGTGAGAGCTAGAGGAAAAGCAGGGAAGGGACTGGTTTTGCCCTGGGAGTGGCAGGACCCTCGGGGACTACAGCTTCTTTGTTTTCTTGTGTTTCCACTGTCTGTCTGAGAAGCTTTAAACAAAGCTGCCAAGTTTCCCTCCTCACTGGCAACAGGTCTGTCTCTGTTTGGATTGAGTCTTAAACAGGCTTAAATGCTTCTTACTCCTCTTGCAGAACGTGTTCTAAGGTGTTTGAATTTTTTTGCTTCTTTCAGAGAAATTGTGACAGGCTTGAAAAAAGCTTATATGACACTAGGAGTTAAGCTAACAGAACAAGCGATGACTTCCAGAACTGGCAAATGTTTGTTTTTACAAAACACATAATGGGTTTTACTGATTTAGAACAAGGGTTTTGAGTCTCCTTTCCAGTCATCCTGAACTAGTTAAGTAATATGTACACATCAGTCTGCCCACTTGTCAAATGGATAGGGTGATGGCTATCCACCTCACCAAGCAGTGGTGAAAGTACTCCAAGTACACAGCAAGGTGCTTTGAACAGCTACCCCAGTAACTCCGAAACCTGTTTACTAAGAAACAATCAAAAACTTCTGCTATGGAGTGGAACTTCTTCCATGTGCTGTATGACTAGATGAGATGGTATTTAGGGGTGAACTGAAGGCTAAGAACAGTACTACAGGCTAGAAGATACTGATGATAGTGCTAGAGATATTTGAATATGCAATTTATGACCTGCTTTAGAAACTTGCTTGTCCTTGTCAACTACTGTGCTCAGAAACTAAAAGCTTTGCTCTTCATGCTTGGAGGAAGGGTAGATTAGATCGTTGAGCTTATGGTGTGGCAAAGAGATACAGAGCCTTCCAAGTACTATTGGGTGAAATCCAGCTCACATTGGTAAGGCCTGAAAGCTGGTATTATTTTCCAGCTGTTTGGTGCTCTGTGTGAAATCCTTCTGATAGTTGTAGCCAGATTTCAGTGCTCAAATGTCCAAAGCAAAAATCATAGTGCAGAGGATGCTAATTATCCTATTTAAAGCAGAAGAAACAAGATAGAACAGCCAAGCAAGCAGCATCTGCCTTTTGTCCTTAGGCCCTTGCTCCGAGTACAGTGTTTTAGAATTAAAATTCTCTATTAAAACATAATGTGCTAGAGCAATCCATAGTTTCTTGTGTTTGGTACACTAGTGGTTAAGCTATCTCAGCCTTATGAATGCTTCATCTATATTAAATCAACAAACCCTCGAACCAGGCAGAAAACATAAGTCACCAAAATCTTTGCCATTCTCTCCACCAGCTTTCAAACCCTTCCCCTCCTCCTAGGTTTCTTTTAATGTTTATGTTTTCCACCCTACTCTCTCACTGGATGTCCTGGCATTCAACATGATCATCAGCCACAAAGCCCTTGAAGTTTTAATGTTTACCAGAAGGTTATATTTAGTGTCAGTGGGTAGATGTCAAGTCCAAATTCTTTTCCACTGAGGTTCCTGTGGACCTCAGAAGCTGTGTTGTGATCCACAGATGCAGCACCCTGTTTGTCCCAACCTATGTTGATCCCAGTGGTACCAAAATTTCACTGGCACACCAGTTTTAAAAATCCTCTCTACTCCTGAGAAAATTCATAAACACAAAGGACTTCAGAAAATCAGATAAACCATTTACATGACAAAGTTTTCCTTCCTCTAAGCAGGTTTTCAGCATGGGGTCACTAGGAAGGTTTGGAAATTCTCTAGTCACTGGAAACCAGTTTGTCTCTTTTCATGCACCAGTGGGAAGAGAGAGACAGTGCAGAGGATAATAGCCACCTACAGGCTACAACCTTACAAAGCATTGTCCAGGACCGCTATGTTCGGAGAGGTTGTAGAGAGCCCCAACTTACTGCATTATACTACGTATTTATATGTAGAGAAAAACTGACTGGATTTTGGGCAGGGATCACAAGAATCCTATGTATTGCAGCCCCTCCCCCTCCAAATCACTGTGACCTCTCAAGCTTTTAGCTATCTTCATTAGCATGCCATCATGAACACAGAGAAAGCACAAAATAAACCTTCATTTAATTCCACTGAAATATCCTTCTAAACTTACTAGTTCTACTCATTAAGCAGTACATCACAATGCAGAAACAGCTTTTCAATCATCAGAACTAAGTGTGTTTGCACAAATTAGCATAAGCTAGGGAGATGTCTCAGTCTGGAGTCTTAATACGATAGTCTTGCAGTGAAACAAACTTGCAGGCCAGGTGGCTTCACAGTGGCTCCTCTGTACCATTGCTAACCTAGCTGACTTCTATATGGCTGTTGGGGCACAGGAAGAAGAGAAGGCCATCCTAATTATATTATCCTTGCTTATAGATGTCAGGTTAGGACTCATCCAAGAGAAAATGGTCAAGACCTTTGTTGGTCTCTAGCTGGCAGAGTGAGCTTGGACAGCTAGGTATTCAGCCTGCTTAACCTTGCAGTGATGGAGGATTATATTATTTGGTATCTGTTGTTCTTTTTAGTCTAACCCTTATTCATGAAATATTAACTGAATTGAAATAGGTAGAAAAGACTGACTCATTTCCATTCACTTGTAAAGAAATTTCCATTTCTTCACATTAAATCTCTAGAATCACAGTTTTGAGAACAACACTAATGAACCCATATGAAAAAAGTTTGTTTTTTTTTTTTAACTTATGTACCCTTTTTTTCCCCCCCTCAATTATTATTTCTTGTTTCCCTAAGCAAAATTTTTCTGATGACTTTGTAATTGGGTATGTGAAGATTAAGAAATTCATAATGGATTTGGTATTTAAAAGCAATCTGAGAAATAAAGCAATCAGACCTCACTGTGACAAATGTGACAAAAGCTTAACAGTTAGGCTGGACAAACTGGAGCAGTATTTGGCCTGTGCTTAGGTTGGTAAAGAGACCTTTAGATAAAGTACGGATAATATATTTTAAACAGGAGGTTGGTTTTCACTTTCAGTTCTAGTACATCTGATTTGCTCCGACTGCATTCATTAAAACCACAGTGGTAAAGCACAACTTCTTTGAAGTTGGTTTGAATCAAAATGCTACCTGTGTGCATGTGAAGAAACTGATTAACCAGTATAAGGAGAAGCAAGTTCACATATCAGTGAAATAAACATTATCTTCCATTTTAGCACCTGGCACTTACCAGAAACTTAGCTGGTTAGCT